GAAAATTCTAGAGTTTAACTAGATGGCTGCTATGCTCACAGAACTGGGATGGTTTCAATGAGCATGTAACCAACATAACCAAGGTAGGTAGTGGACATGCTGTTCACCTGCTCCCTCAATCTCAAACAATGCTTCAATCGGCTGAATGGGGAGATGTGCAAATTTATCTTTCTGAAACAATTAGCACATTGTAGTGACTTGTGAACCACAATCCATCATGGAATTGCATTGCACACCCTCACACAAAACAGAAGCTGCACAATGAGAATCTAGCAGACTGGCTGGCAAGCGAGATTTGGAATCAAAATCTTCAACCATTGTCTGGGTTTTTATTTTTCTCTGAAAATGAATGCTTTGGTCAAATAAGGTGGGATTGATGCTGGTCTCAGCTCCTGGGCGTCCCACAACAAGGGCTGCTACAAGTTTAAAGTAAAAGGCTCAGTAACCTGTTGGGCTTGGAACCTTTCTTGCTTTGCCTGACAGACTAGTGTCTGGTTAGGTTCATTCAGAAGTCGAGCAGCAGTATGGTCATCTTCACCACATCTAAAGCTGAACCACACTTCTGGCAGACAGGGAACCTTAACAGGTCTCCTGCCACTGCTGTTTCTTGCCATTAAGTAATCTTTGCCATCACTTATTTTCTTTAGGACATTTCTGGTACCGAGCGAGCTCTCTAAGTTTCTTAGACAACTGATCCGTCTTATTTTGAAGTTTAACAGCTTGTTTTCTCCGTTTTGACGCTGCACTAAGCTCACTGTCAAAAGGAGGATTCATGGACCTTTGGCTCAGTTTCTCTACTTGCTTTGCAAGCTTATCCAATCTCCTTTCAAGCTTCGATGCCTCGCTCTGTTTTGTAGTCTGTATTGGAACAGGCTCATCATCATAGGAGGGTACATCAAAAATGGAGTGGGCATGTACAGCTGACTTTTGTAGAACCAAGATATTTTTTCATCTTGTCTAGCTTTGCAGATCTAGCACCTTCCTCAGTTCTCAACACAAGGAGTATTTCTGAAAATGCTGGTGGACTGTTCTTTTTGTTCTCTAGCTGGAGAGCTATGATGAGACTCATCCCAGCAGCCTCTATTGAACTGTCTGAGCAGGTGTTTCAACAGAGACTCCCCCTCTAGAAATAGCTCAAGTAAGGAGGCTATGGAGTCTGTTCAAATATGCTGAGGGCTTTTCTCTGCTATTCTGACTGGAGCTGAGAAAGGTTGCAAAAAAAACAAAAAAAAAACAAAACAAAAAACTCTTCTCCGTTATCTACAAGACTAAAAGCAGAATCAAGCTGCCTAATATAAGCTCTGGGTGGGGAGCTCAAACCAAACAACTTAAAAACATCTGTCGCTGGACTGAGCAAACTTTCAAGAATGTTCCTAACCCTAAAGGAAGAATCACTGAGGGGAAGATCCACTTGTATACCTGTTCCTGAGCAACATCTCAAATGGTTTTAACAAACGAACCAACAGCAGGATTCTTGGGGCTAGGCTAGTCACTAAAGACCTTGGTTGATCTAGGAATGGCTTGATCAGACGAATATTCTACCAGGACTCGACCCTCTGGATGGTTTGGTTCATCTGGAATTCGAACTATCCGAGAAACTTTACCATTTACTGAAAAAACACTAGCAATGTCATCTCTGTGTAAATCCTTTCAATTCAGTCACAAAAAATGAGCATATATTACTAGATCAGCGGTCCCCAACCCCCGGGCCTCGGACCGGTACCGGTCCGTGAGTCGTTTGGTACCGGGCCGCGAAAGTTGAGGCTCAGGTGTGAAATGTATGGTTTTCAGGGTTTTTATCGGTTTTCAGCGTTATTTTGTTATCGTTTTTATCGTTAACTCGGTTTTCCTGGGTCTTTTCACGTGTGTTATGAATAAATCTTCTTTTTTTCGGTACCGGTACTAGTTTTATTTTGTTGTATTTATCCGCGACACCTTAAAGGCCGGTCCGTGAAAATATTGTCGGGCATAAACCGGTCCGTGGCGCAAAAAAGGTTGGGGACCGCTGGTCTACATTAAAGCATCTGCAAAGGTACAATGTCCAACTCAATGCGGTGGAGAAAAATGAAAAGGTGGGTGTTGTGAGCTGGAAAGTCAAGGTGCTACTATCGTCCAATCTCCTGGCTGGCTCTCCACTTGTAACTCAATCTGTACTTACACCAAAGCATTAATGCTTGGAAATCAGGACTGAAATCATCAATTTCACCACAATGTTTTAGCCCCCAAAAATGAAATCACAATTTGTATAGAAAGAGGTTACAAGAATTGAAATGTGTCCCAAAACTCTGTAACCCATCAGAGGCTAGTTTCGTAAAGGAGTTTGGTAGTAGCTGCTCCACCATAGGAACAGCAAGACCTCCAGCACACAACGAACACCACACTCACTTAACATAGACACATTTATTAAAACACAATTTTAAACAATAACCCTTTTCTTCTACTGTCTTTCCACTCAGTGTTCCCAAAAAAACCAAAACACTTTTCAAGGTCCTTTGGCCAAAAAAACAAAAACAAAACAAAACAAAACAAACCCTGAGCTCAGGGAAAGGTAAAGTGCAACGTTGGGGCCCTCCAATTTGTTCCTACCGCCCTGTTGGAATGGTGTAGTATCCAGTAACCGCATCCAGAAAGCAGAAGCATCCACTTGCAGCAACGACCATCTACCAGGTAGGATGTTTCAGTGGAGTCATCAGATGAGGAACATCATCCAGTAGTAACAGGATACCAAAGGAAAAACCAGCCTACACACACCAGGATGCTGGAGAATTAACCAAAGCATATTCATGACTTCCAGTATCACTAACGGCTCATCTAGCAGTCTCAACATCATAAAAAATACAGGCTTGTTCATGTAAAAAAATAAAATAAAAATTCTTAGGCATAAACACATCAACTCGGTAATTGACCTTGTATCGGCCGCCATATTAGGACGGTAGCCAGGCTTGCTTAGCCGCTAGCTTGCTAACATTCAGCTAAGCTCATTCACACATTCTATAACATTTGGCTTTCTTCCTCAAAAAAAAAAAAAAAAAAAAAAAAAAAAAAAAAAAAAAAAAAACATCCCAGCAGTTAACTTGACACCTGGCTGCAGCATAAAAATAATACATAATAATACATAATATTCAATGTAAACATGAGCTCCAAGCTAACTCACCAGAGGAGTTGGTGTAATGGCGAATGCTTGTCGGACTCGGCTCAGCGCGTACCGCTTCATGATTTCTCTCTCTAACAACACATTAAAGCATCAGTTTTAAGTACAAATGTTTTGTAAACCTATCTACAGTGACTGGTGTTAAATGTACCCAGGTTTCCAGAACGCAGAGGGCACCAGAACAGCATGCATCTCACCAGATCGACGGGAGGAAAAGAAGAAATTTTGCAGTTGGACTAGGCCTTTGCTCACGGCACTGTGATGCGTTCAATGACTGCCAAACAGTGTTGCCAACTCCTCAGCAAGGAAAATCGCTATTGGTTGTCCTAGAAGTCGCTAAATGATGGCATCGCCTAATTTGCATAATTGGCCATGCTAATGTTACATTTGTAGATCCTTGGACAGTACACCTAGTGCGTTAATCCAGCATTTTAGGTTTTTTTCATTGATTACACCCTGCAGGCAAAAAAATATGTTCTCGTTTGATCCTAAGATGAATGTTCACTGCAGTTTACGTGACCATGCGTGTGCAGGTTTTAGAATGCATTTAAATTTTTATCATAGTTCTTCTGGACATGTTACATGTAATATTCAAAATCCACATCAGTCAGATATTACTGAACATGGATCCCAGTTTAAATTAATTTGTGGGTGCGATATATTTCAAAGAGAAGCGAATCATCTGCTTTATATAAACAATCTCCAGTAAACAACACTTTCATTTATGTACATCTTTAGCTTTGATTTTCAAAAATGCAGAAGTTTCATGACACATGAATAAACCAGCTACTGTATGTGTGAGGATTTTTCTGATGACAGATGTTACAGACATCAACCATTATTCTCAAATGGCACAATGCAAATTTAAGTTTATGATGATGACTGAAACATCAAATTCTCCTAGGGTAGGGGTCAGCAACCTTTAACACCCAAAGAGCCGTTTGGACCCCGTTTCCACGGAAAAGAAAACACTGGGAGCCGCAATTACTTTTTGACATCTAAAATAAAGATAACTCTGTTATTGTTCTTTACATTTATGAATAGGTATTAGAAAACAGTGGTTTCAATAAGTATCATTGACTGAACAATGCACAAGTAAGTAACTGGTGATAATTGAGGTTTGAACTCAGTTCTTAGTTATGTTGAATCGTTCTCTGCAAGCTACGACTGTAGAATGTGTTTTACTTCATTTCAACTGAAAACATACTCCAGCGTGTTTGTGTATCAGTTTTAGCTTTGTGGATAAAAAGAATCGTTCAACAAACAAAAACTTGTTTTGGCTTCGGTCTTAATGCCAGTCAAACGCTGTGGCTCATTCGGACTATTCCTCTAATTCTTGGTGATGTTGTCCCTAATGGCTCCAGCCATGAACTAGATAAGCAGAAGAAAATGGATAGATGGATCAAAGGATGATCCAAAGAAAAACATTAAAGGGCCTCTCAACAGCTTTCATTTATTAAATTTGTCTTTACTAAACAATTTCTGGTGTGTATTTGCATTGATACTCAGACAGCAGCTCACATGTCCTCTTTCTGTTTGTGGTGGAAGATTCAGGCAAACACATATAGATTGTTATTTATACGCAGTGTTTTACTTTTCAAACCATTTAGGTGTGTAAATGAGTTTCATGTATAATCTTATTTCTGTTCTTTGTTTAGAATCGTATTGTTTGGTCTGACCTATTTTTTTCCAGCGGTAGAGACTAATGATGTTCAGGTGTGTGTAAAGTCCTGTATAAAGCAAGTAAGATTTTGCCTACCAGGTTGGTTGTTTTATGGTAGAATGGAGATGCCAGAAATAAAGTATACTTAAAAGGAACTTGACTAGTATGCTGATACTGTTCACTTATCACCCTCTTTGATGTTTATCTTATGCTACCCGACAAGAGAACATGCTTTAGAAATCAAATCCAAAATTGAATAATTTGTTCTGAAAAGTATATAAACATATGTAAACATGTGTAAACACTTTGGTGAAAATAAGAAGAACTACATTTGAAAATGAATGATTGGAATCCAGACTTTTGACTTTTTTGGTTTTCCTCAACATTCAATCCTCTTAACATTTTTGTTTTCCAGCTTTTCTAGAAGGAGAATCATTTATTACATCACTGCAAGAAATCTGATGGCCAACTTTGTTAAAACTGTTACAAAATCAGTTTTACCCCGGTTCTTTTATTCGTCAAAACTTCCAGAGACGGCACCGGAACTCAGTAGTCATTTCACAAAACCTTTATTCATCTTCATTTAAGCATGCACTTCTAGAAGGGAAGACGAGGCCGGTGTGTCCCTCTGAATCTTCACCCCTTTGTTAGTTACAGGCAGCTTTATAGAGGCGTCCCCATCATAAAACCCCCCACGGTGTGCTGCAAACTGTGTCTGTGTGCACGAGCACATGAATGCCTACATGTGCGCGTTCCCACGTGTCTATGTGAGTGCTCGTGTGTGACTGTGTACGCATACCTGTGTGTATGTGTGAGTGCACATGAGTGAGTGTGCGTGTGGATGTGTGTGCGTGACAGTTAAAACACTGTGGGTGTAGGTGACTCCCTAGAGGTCATAAAAACCCATCTCCCTTCCAGACCACAGTTATCCAGTTACAAATGTTGAGACCCCCACCCAAACATTCTCTGGGGAATTTCCACTCAGCATTAACTCCTCTCCATTTTACTCTCACAGTTCAAGTGGGGGAGGGGTCTCCTACAATCTACTTCTAAGTTCATGACAGAATCAGGCCTTTATTACATTGAGGGCAGTGTCAGTGTCTCTACAATAGTTCTACATTCTATGTTAACACATTTCTAAACTCTAAAATAAGCTAAACATTCTACAATACTAATTACTGCCAGTCCACTCAGTCTTTCTTGTGCCGTGGAAGGTCTGTGGTAGTTGTTTAAGTACACAGTGAAGGGCAGATGCTGCTGCTGTCTCCCTGTCAGCTGTGTCCTCTCATCTTCAGAAGTCTGGACTCGTGAGCCAACGTGCCAAGTAAGAACTATCAAGTATGCATGTATGATCTCTTTACTTGGTGCTGAGAGATGGCATCTAAAGGAATCGACTCTGGACTAAAGCAGTGTTTTAACCATTTCATTGTTAGCCCCGCCCCCTAACTCTGATGGGTGAGGTTGACAGATGAAATAAATTCATGGTGCAGTGCATCACAGTAACCATGAAAAAAATTAACAATCAACTGCTTCTAAATAATGAATGAATCAGTTGGTTTGAAATGAATTAACAGTTTATTTATATACTAAATACATTTATTTCCAATTTAACTCATGTGATTTAATGAATTTGACACTCATTATTTAATAATTGTTTATTTTAATTTTAGCACTCTTGACACTCCATAAATTACACGCTCAACTACTTGCTTGGAGATGTGTGGTTTTTTTTGTTTTTTTTACAGTTATCTCTAAAGGAGAGTGTTTAGCACAATTTTCCATGTGTCAACCAATTACACATATATATGGGAAAAAAGTGACAGTGTAAAGTCAACATGACTATTGCTAGGATCACCATATCCATTCTTTCCTTTATGAATACTCATATCATATTTTTCATTGAATAATTTTTTTTTTCATAATTATTCTCCATCTGATAAGAATTTAAAGTGTGAGAGTGATGGGGGGCATTTGGCTCTTATGTCTACCAGCAGACAGTTTTGTAAGTGAAGCATTAAAGGCTTAAATAAAAATAAAGAGACCGATCATGATAATGACAGCACCACACAAACAGGCTCGTGTTTTATTTAAAGATTTGAAATACTATACAAGCTACAAATCTGTACAGCTGAAAGCTGGATTGGTGCAAACATTAAGAACACTGCTGCATTACTGAACGTAATTACTAAAAGACAAAAATGTGAAAACCCAGTAAAACTTCCTAAACTTAAACCACTTTCTTTCTTTTTTTTAAATAACTGAACTGACCTTAAAATGAACAAACTCTTAAAATAACACCGATTATAATTATTACAATGTGTGCAACGATATTCTAGGTTATTAATGAATCCCTCATTAAAGTAAATGAGTTGTCATTAAAAACAGGTAACTGCCGTCTGCATCAAGGCAAAGAATAACTCAAAGGAAGAAGAGCTTGTCTGAGAGCTGGATGGCCGGCTCTGAGTGGAGGTACTGGCCAGACAGGAAAGCCAGTTTGTGGGCATATTTGCAGGGTGCTGGAACGCGAATGGTGCCGGGCCAGTTCCAGTACAAATGGCACATCTTGAAGGTCAACCTGGCAAGACACCAAATCAACAATGAAGTGTTTTTGAACTGTACACACATTCACAATAAATCCCAATTTGTGTGGAAGATACACAAAAAAAGAAATGACAGCAATACTTTGGAAAACAATAGACTCGAGGTAAATACCAGTGAGGCTTAAAATAAAAGGGGGGTGGTGGTTAATTACTTGAAAATGCATCTAGTACAGTTCCAAGATATAAATGTGTACAGAACCACTCAAACTCCTGACACACAATCTCTACTCAGCTCTACTCCATTTGTGTTTTTGCAAGTATGGTCTACTACTCTGGCAACAGGAAGGTTTTTTCCTTTTAGCAGGAGGAAACCTTTGGGCAGTACTAGGCTCAGGGAGGCTCAGCCATCTGCCAAGACCAGCTGGGGGATGCAGGTCCAGACTAAACAGTAGAAGCTGATGTTTGACTGATTGTGTGTCTTACTGACAACTGGAGGCTGGGCAAAATTTTGATATCAAAATGCACGATTTTGCTACATCTTGGGACATGATTGGCACCAAAAATCTCTTTTTATTCAAACATGTATCAGCTCTGAACTGACAAACATGCTATAAACTTATTGGAGATCTTAGGCTACGTTCACACTGCAGGTGAAAGCGTATCAAATCCGATTTCTTTGACCCTATGCGACCATCTATCCGATCATGGTGTGACAGTGTGAACGGCACAAATCCGATATTTTCAAATCCGATCTGGGTCACTTTTGTATGTGGTCCGGAATCCGATACATATCTGATGTTTTAGAAAGCGACTGCTGTTTGAACGGTCAGGTCGCATTAAATCCGTCTTTTACGTCACTGAGAGAAGACAGACGCCAATTATCAGCGCCGGAGAAGACGTCGTGAACACTTCCTGACCATCCAGTGTAGATATCAGTGAAACTGTTGGGAAGACAACGTGAACATTTTATTTGTACTGTATAATCTGCAGATTCTGACAGAAATCTGCAGCTATCCTTTGAAGCACCGCTCCTCTAAAACTGCAATAAGGATCATTATTAGGTTATTTACATTATTAT